CTGCTCTCGGGTTTGGTGCAAAAAATTTCGAGGTGGTGAAGACTGCAAGGTAAATACTCAAACAGGGAAGCCAGGACGCTGCAGTCGTAGATGGCAAGCCTGAGGGCTTTCAGGGAGGAATTGCGCAAATGCTCCCAACCAACCATGGCAGAAAGGTTGAGAGCATTATCAGGCTGGGTGGCCAACAAGCCGCAATGCTGCAAGAGGCCGTCCTGGCCAATGGGGATAAACGTGTCTTCCCCGAAGGAGACCTTGTAAAAGAAGCCCAAAGCCAGGTTCCGTAGCTTCTGCCAAGGCAACTGCGCCCAGTCCAGGGTAGCAGGACGCTGATCCCGCCACTGAATTCCCAGATTTTTAGGACGCTGCGTCTGGATCCAAGACATGAGGTCAGCACTGGGTTGTTCAAGCATATCCAAGACTAGGTAGTCGGTGTTGGTGTAGCTGCCCATGAGGGCGGGCGTCCAGCTCTGGAAGTCAATGCAACAGAGCTCGAGGCGATCTGTGCTCACATTGATGGCCCAGGTAGCCCATTGGTCAGCACGGGGGCGTGCTATGTGCGACCCAGTAAAGCCGTTGTACCCGAGTGTGACAGAAGCATCAGGGGAACATGAATCAGGGCACTCGTTCTTGATGAAGAGCTGCGGTTGCTGCGCCATGACCATCGCGAGGCACAGCAGCAAGAGCACACCAAGCACGCCCTTGTGGTCTGGCGAGACCCTTCTGGGAAAAGCCGGCTGTGAACAAGAGGGCATCCTCATGCTCGCGCCAAGCACTCGGAAATCGGCCACGACCAGTCGCCCCAAGGCGATGAGCATTGTCTCCCTCTCCGCCCGCCAACCCCCCTCCTGGCGCGTGGTTGCGGCACAGGAAGGGTCGAGCCATGCAATCACACGCACGCCCAAGAATCCATACGCGCGCCGCACACTTGCACACTTTTGCGCGCACACCAACCGCAGTAGCGATGACGCTGCCCTTTTGACGCTCCCTGTAAATACAACGATAGATTCTGATTGATTCAGACGCTGCAAGCAGCTGATAAATAAGGTAGACGAGGAGAAAAAGGTGACTCTCTCTCTCTCTCTCTCTCTCTCTCTCTCTCTCTCTCTCTCTCT